AAATTCCAAGACAGACTCAGTATTGCCACTAATCATAATCCGCAGTTTCGTGAGACTTGCTTCTTGATTCGCAATGCTTTGTTGCAATTGCAGCTCTATTTTGATTTCATTCAACTCAGAGTTAAGTCGCCATTCTTCGATTTCCGTATCGCCGACGCGCATGTCGACGTCTTCAATGCTTGTGCTTCCCGTGTGAATAGGATGCATCATGTAGAAGTATGGCTAGAAGATCGCTGCTGGTCCTGTACAAACCGATTTGGGTGCAGCCGGTGCTTTTAGTTGATTTCAGTACCAAGAACGGCAGGGCTAACCGCTATTTCTAGCCCTTGTGGCTGCTAGCTATCTACAAGACCACCACTACGGCAAATCGAAAGGATCGACCACACCAAGCCAAGCAAAAGGCGGGTGATTACACCGATAACATCTCCGCTGAGCCTTGTCGACCGCTACCTAGCTTTGCCAGGGCCAGTGACCATGCGATGCTCGCCGCCTTTTGTCGTCGCTGCGGGCGCGCCTGGAGAGCATTGGCTTGCCGTGGAGAGCAAACACTGGAGGCTTGTGGTGGTGCAGTGCCAAAAGTCACCATCACTTAGGCTGTGGCCAGTTGCTGCTGCGAAATGGGCCGAGCTGCAGCATTCGTAGCCCCAAGTTAATCTACCTGGTGGGGGGTGGTGCACCTGGAGAGCGGAATCAGAGAAGCATAAAAGGGCTTTCAATCTAATGTAATGGTCAACATGTCGCTCGAGAGCTATTCAAACACACAATGCAATTTGCACATGCAGCACAAAACGGATGCTGACGCGTCGGCAAGGTGGCGAGACACCCTTCGGCGGGAATAGCCGCCATTGTTCAGGCTCACCAGTAAAGTTTGTTTCTCCCAATTTGCCTGGCTGAGCAGGAAATCTAGGCTCAGAAATTGTAGTATGTATTAATAAGACGCGGTTTGGCCCCTAGTGTCAACCTATGGAGTAGCAATCTGTATTCAGTTTCGAGAAGGGTTTTGTCGCATTACAACCGAAAGCTTACAGCTTGCGTAGCCATGAAACCGGCTCACAGCATCACGGAGAGCCTAAGAGCCTATCGGAGGCATCTCTCCTCCACACTCAACCCACGAAATACCCTGCATTAGTTTCCTCGGCATCAGGGGCCTGCTCGACACTGAGTGACGGTCGTGTTGTTTTGGACGCCTGTGGTGTTGCGATCATCGGCCATGGCGACGAGACCGTAAAATTCGCTATCCAGGAACAGCTAGACAAAGCTGCTTACACCCACCCCATCATGCACACAACCTCTCCTCCGAAGGACCTGGCCGAGTTTCTGCTTCTGGGAGCCCCTTCTCTGGGCTTATCTAAGGCGTACTTTGCGAGCTCCGGAAGTGACGCCGTCGAGGCCGCCATGAAGCTTGCTGTGGCATTCCACCGCGCCAACAAAAGCCCTTATAGAACACACTTCGTGTCTAGGGAGAGATCATACCATGGAAACACCATCGGGGCCATGTGTCTAAGCGACAATCCAGGCAGGACGAGGCCTTATGAGAAAGCCTTCGACAGACTCGACGTGAGTTTCGTCAAGTCCGCGTACGCCTATCGCCACCAAGAAGCAACGAGACCGAGGCTCAGTATACTGCCAGGCTGGTAAACGAGGTCGAAGCCGAGTTTCGCAGGATTGGGCGGCAGAATATCGCGGCTTTCGTGGCGGAGACTGTCGGAGGCTCAACGGCCGGATGCATCACTGCTCCTAAAGGCTATTTCGAGGGCGTACGCCGTGTTTGTGACGAATACGGAGTGCTCCTCATTTTTGACGAGATTATGTGTGGAAGCGGCCGCACTGGAACCTATTTTGCCTTCGAATCTGAGGGCGCTGTCTGCCCCGATATTGTTGTTCTGGGGAAGGGACTCTCCGGAGGGTATCTGTATCGCGGCCGCCAACCGCAAAGCACAGTTTTTGCAATATGTGATACGGAGGAGCGGCCGATGTGCAGGACGCAAAAAAGCTCTGATAGCATCATAATCCTGCGATTCTCGCTGGAACGCTGTATCTTTGTCAGCAGGTCGCAACCCATGCAGTACAGCTACCAATTGACAGCCACATGGAGCTCGTAGTCCGTCCCCATCAATTGCAGCACAGCAGTTGATGCACCGTGTTATTCGTCACAATGATGCTTACACTGTATGTGTTCTTAATACTAGTGCCTACGGTAACGCATTCAAGTCTGTCGAGCTGGCTTGTCTTATAGCGCCTCGGCTTTCGGCCTCCACCTTGAATGAGTTGAATCACATGGCGCAGAGGAGCGCACGTCCAAACCTGGCTCATGTACACTTTTCTTCCGCACGTGTATTGAGTGAGGCAGAGGATTTAAATGGTTCATTGCCCATGTATGTGCACAGCAAACGGGAGCTAGCAAAAGACACTAGGCCGAGAAAATTACAGAATTTCCTAGATGGGTAACTCGTCATTAGGGTGTGAAGCTTCCCAGGGTGCGGCCCTCTTGTCCTTCTGCCCCCCACCCCCGCCCCTTCTCCGTCAGCTTGCAGCCTACTCAGGGGCATGCACACCATTGGAGGCAAACCAGGGGTGGCGGAGGGCGGACTGGTGGGGGACCGGTGAAGGAGTGCATACGAAGTGCGTGCGCCGCCGGTCCATCCACGAGGGACAGGAAAGGCGTGCAGTTAGGCCAGCCTGCTTCTTCGACGTCCAAGCCTGCCGCCTTTTTGCCTTCGCAAATCGACGGAGCTTTGGCGCAGACCGAGCCTCGCAGCTAGGTATTACCGGGCCAGATCTAACCTCAACGCTACCAGTCGGAGTCCGGCCCTGCGGCTGCCAGTTCTCGCCGATTTTTGCCAAGTCCCCTCAGTTTTGTCGTCGCAATAATACGTCTTACCTTATTGCTAAGGCCCACCTGGGAGCTGCCAGTTTTCGCAGGTTTTTTTACGAAGTCCCCGCAGCTTTCTCGTCACAGTAGGTATAGTACGTATCTAGGTACCTACCTACCAAGGTACATTGCCCTGCCCCGATTTCCGTAATTACCAGGTACTTAGGTGCTTACAGCAGGTAGGCTGCACCGTAAGAATTACAATGAAAACCGGACGGAATTTAATGCCCTCAACCGCAGCCACAAAAGAAGCGAAATTTGCAATCTCTCCGTAATCAGACAATGCACATCTCCCTCTCTGACTTTTCTCTTTCCCCGCTGATTTGGTGGATGGGGCCAGGGTAGAACGAGGCCTGGCTGCCGGAATTTGGCAAGAGCTTTACCCCGGATCCTACTGCGGACAGGAAGCGCGACAACACACAACAAGAAGGGTCAAGGCTTATGCGACGGCAGTGACGGTTCGAGCACTTTCTCGCTGCTGCTATGACCTGTCTCAAAGACAAGAAGCCGACTGCTTGGACGACGAAATCATCCAAGATATGCCTCTTCTCTGAGGCAGCAAGGCGGAAGGCTGTGCCCAGGACATCGTTGACAGACTCAGTAAACAATGTGTTGAAATATTTACTAGCTGCTTGTTTCTGTCGAGGCTCCTCAGGGAAGTAGTCGTCTGGTAGAGGATCAACCTTCTTTCAGAATCGTAACGAGCTTTACGTGTTGGGAGGAAGAAGTAGATCGGTTAAGGGGAGAGGCTTAAAATATAACTGATATACTTTATTAAAGTCTTAAGAGACTTCAGGCGTCTTGGGCTGTATCTGCGAATTGCGCCCACATTAAACTTGGTGGCCCTGCCGCATGTTTGAACCAGTCGGCCCAGTCAGAGCCGACAAGCGCCCCAGCAAAGCCGTTATAAAACAGTGACATTAGAATGTTGCAAGACGGGTGGGTTCATGCCTTTGCTATACCTAGACATGTTGGCGCATCATGGTCAGGCAGGCCGCATACACACCACACGTTGACCTTTCGTCTCCTTCCTCGGCTTCGGGCCCTTCTTCCGGAGACCAAGTGCCAGCAGGCGCCGGCGCTTCAATCAGAAATCGTAGCGCTACATACACAAACAGAGAAGCTCATATCAAGATAATAATAGAAGGGGTTATCGTGACAATAGAACTCAACGGATATGCGACATATAATTGTATCCTCGAGCCTGAGGGCAGCGCAGAACAAGTACATCGATGGCCAGATATGGCCGTATCTAATCAAGATTTACTAAGATCATGAATACTACTCAAAGAAGACAAAAAGATGGCACAAACTAAGTGTGGATATGTTCAAAAAGCTCTAAGTCTTCCACAGAAGCCATTGACTGCGCAGCTCCATCTGCTCTGCATCGGGCCAAGCCGCATGGGTGGCATAGACAAGCGACAAGGGCCATGTACTGCTGACATGCGAAGACTTTCGCCTTCAGCGATTAACAGAGCGGGTTTTGAATGTGGTATTGGCCGATGTGATAGCTATGCCCATGCGGAAAGTTCCTCACAAAAGCCTTCCTCGATCGGCCGTTGTTGCCTGCTCGTGGCTCTGATGTCCTTCACCAGGATCGTTGCTCTCGACTTGCCGGCGTATAGTCTATACATTTGTGGTTAGTTGTATTTGCCAGCAATCTCACAGATCCCGAGTGAAAATACCATGCTACGCAAGGAGATCTGAAGAAGAGAAACTTGCAGTTGTGTGAAGGCGAGGTAGAGTCCGATGAGCATGATCGCAAGGGAAACAGTACCGAAAACCAGGGCTGTGATTGTTGAAGCATCCATTTTCAGGGCTCTGCTTTGCATTTTCGAGCACCTGGTGAGTTTATTGATGCCTTTGACACATGAGCCAGTCACCGACATGCCAGGACGTGTTTTTAAAAGGTCGACTGAAAAGGGTGAATGCTGCATCATCGGGCTTCACCGAGGGGAGGCATTCGGAGTATGCTACGGATGACTGCATCGCAACTGCACCGCCTGCACGGTTCCGATATTGAGGCGCCCGTCTCTTCAAGCCTTGCACCTCACCGGCTCTTGTTTTCTGCACACAGCCATGTCTCGCCTAGCATCCGCCGTACGGGTCCGAAAGCTTGACGTTGATGGAAACTGAAAGAAACTTTGGTAAAGTTGATGCGCTGGAGTGGCAGTTATTGGAAATGGTTATGGTGTGGGCTTCCTGGTGCCCACATATCCACAAGTGCAAACTCTTTCTGGTCTGTTGAGATTCTAGAATGCCTCGAGATGCCTGTGCCGCTTTTGGTCGCTATCAGTCGAGGTAGTTCCGCCGGAGCCCTGCGAGGGATCGCCGAAGTCGACGCGTCAGGAGCTTTCACGGGCGCTAGCTTGCCGCCAACGCCGCGTATCTTCTTCGGTTTCGTCTCTGCTAAGCGCCAGACGGCTGTTTCGGTCGGTATTCTAGGAGGAAGCGGCTTTCGCAAGCCAGCTAGCGGCTTTGCTGCCAGGGATCGTGACGTGCCCTGGCGCTTGTAGATGGTCCTCAGGTCAGCTTTGTCGCAATACAAAGCGCCGGAACACGCCAGGCGACGAGTCTGATTCGTAATCAGCAACGCCGCGCAGGCCGGTTTCGCCAGTATACCATACCATTACGAATTTAGCCACGTCGAGATGTGCGCAAAATTTACTGGTCACGAGACTCTTGCAGCTGAGCAAATACACGAAGCGACAGACTTAGCCATATATACAAAATTATGCCAAATGAATCCAGAATGCGTCCAGACAGCCTGTGCAAGCCGATAGAGTGGTTGGAAGCAATAGCGATGCAATTGTTTTCGCTCAAGTTCGACGGATTGGCAGGGATCACATTTTCCGAATGCACAGTGTGAAATAAGAAGTACTGGTATTTGGCATGTAATGCTTTCCAGCAGCGAAATATACTTCGAGTAGATCGTGTAGCGCGAGGCGCATTGCCCGGCGCCGTCGGCGGGGTGACCAGCACGACGCGAGACCTGCACGAGCGCAGACGATGAAAACGAGCCTTCGTTTCCTTTTCTAGCATTTTTGGTCCTCGCATACTTACTCCATGGGCGAAGCATATTCCGGCGCGAGGTTAGTGGAGGCGCCGCAGCGGCGCAGTGGACGGCAGCCATTCCCGACCACGCAGACGTTGGACGATGAGAGAAAAGAAAACTTTTGTTGGCTGGTGAACGCGACTGCTTTATCGTACAAGTAACTCCAAGCTATCTCCGGCCGTGTTGGACTCGACCTCGACATATTACCACCCTGATTAGGCTATTTGAACAGCTGGGCATAGCTCAGGAACGTGGGCGACGACCTGCAGTGTCACGAGGTCTATGTGGCGGTCGCGAGCAGAAAGCAGCTCATCAAGCAAGGGCGGGGGTGTGCTGTGGGTAGAGACAGCTAAGGATAGCTACAGTACTCATGCTGCTCCTCGATCTATACGTGATATGGGACGGCGGGCAGTAGAATCTGGTCCCGCCCATTGGTGGCCAAAAAATGCCCCTCAAATCGATGCAGAGGCGGGTAAAAGCATGTCGCATGGTGCACCTCGATCGAATTTACCTCCATTACAGTTTCACACTACGCCAGTAACCACGTATTACTGTGATACGGGTTGTATGTACTGTAACATGGTGGAATTCCGGTGTCATTGGAGTCATACAGTACAGTACCATCCGTGCGGCGCTTCTTCTGTTAGTCGCCATCCAAATTGTTCTCTCCGCTTGGAGTAAGATATCCTTTTGGCTCTTTCGCATAATATCGCATTATGGAATATCTAATCAGAATTAGTTGTCAACGAAGCTGACAATCGATGGATTTTCATTTTCGTCGCTAGCGTCTGGTCCTTGCTCGTATGCGCATACAGCATTATATCAACCTACATCTATCGAGAAGCATATAGACCTTTACTTTGTTTACTTCTTTATGCAGTTTCGACAATTTCTTGGCTTACTGGCTCTCTGCTCATCGGGTGGAATCTTCCCACAAAATGCTCAGAATTATTAATCTGCAGAATCATGTATGCTTCCGCGAGCATAGGGTCACAATCTGGGCGGCCTTTGTGCTCTTGACCGTTCGCGAGCTACGCACTAACTGAAAATTTCAGTCGTCTGGCGTCCTTACTTTTCATTTATGTCATACCCTCCTCTACTGGAACTGACCTACTGTGAAGAATCTATGGCAGAATTGTTTTGAGCCAATAATTTATGACGTGCGCGATTGCGTATACGCATTCCAGTACCGAGTGCTGACCGCATAAGGGTTAGTGTAAACTGTGCCTCTCCTACTTATTCTCATTAAGCCTCGTAGTCAGAACACTGACCTAATATCGTGACAGCTAACATGCAATGGCTCTGTCTACATCACTATGGCACTGCAACAGAAGAAAAAGAGCAGGAAAACTGCTCCCCCTACGGTCTCTATTTCTCTCATATGCGACTCGATGAATCAATGCCCGGATGCCCTTATGCAGTTCATCCACGGCAATCTTTCTTCTGCGGAGATAGCCTCGATAGCGGTTCAACTGCAGAAATCGTGCGTCCCGGATAGACAAGTGCTGTGGACAGGAATGACCCGCGAAGCGGCACAGAAGTGGGCAGATGCTCATGACTTGCAGACATTGACTACTGCCATGGGAGCATACATGGATACCAAAAATCAGCTCTGTCCGCAAAAGCAAAAAAGCCACGCGGCATGGATCGATTACATACATGGCGCGTCTGCGCTCTTTGCTTTGCGAATCAGTCAGGGCGAGGTTGTGACAGTGCTGTCTAACCCGCCACCCCAGCGTTTCCATCCCGATGGAAATACCAGTTTCCAATGCATCGAGGCACCAATCATCACTGGGGAACTGGGGAACCGGGCAGTTACTAGAATTGAAATAGCCCATCCGAATGTCGCCGAAGCTTCTGATTTCAGGTATCAAATCTGGCCGGAAGACGCTGTTCGCTCTTGGATCGACGAATATGGTGAACGACCTCCAACCATGCCTTGGAGAAAAGTTAAAAGAAGGAAGTCTCTACAGTCACCCCATCCGGCGACAACAACCAATTGGGCATTTTACCAACTACACGAGCCGCTGCTATCGCCGTCTGTATCCCGGCCTGGAACGTGTAAACCGGTGCAGGAGGTTTTCACATCCGCTGGCGGTCTGCATCCAGATCGTATCGCGAAAGCACAGCAGCATAAACGAGAAAGAGCCGATTTAGAGGCTAAACTCGGGGCCAGATTAAAAGCATTTGGCAAAGTGAGAAAAGCTCAGCGAGTGAGTTTGCATCAACAACAGATATCTGCCACGAAAAGTCTCAAAGGGAAAAAGAGGAAAGTTGCAAACAGAAAATTTGAAGAAACGCGCAGAGCTCTGAAGAGGGAGCACGAAAAGAAACTTATTGAAATACAGCAGGACGAGGAAGTCGCCCGAGAGGCAATGAAAAAGAGGCATCGAGCGGATATGTTACATCCCGAGAAACGATGTTGTCGCCCTCAATCACGGACAGCCGAGGCGCCGGACGCTTTTGCTCTTGACGTAGAGGCAAATTTTTCCTGTTTTGATTCGTCTCACATGGTACAGTGGATGAAGCAGCTTATTCATGCTTTTGTCAGTGCTTGGAAGTAAGCGCATACTGCAGCGTATTGACCAGCGGCCTCCCCTTCGTCCCCCCTGCCCCCCTTTCTCGAGTATATTCCCGTCTACGGCGAATGCAAACGAAAACGCTACCCGAACTGGCCCGATGCCAGATTCCAAATACCTGCTACAAAGGAGCAAATGCGCAGCCTAGTCAGGTGATAGCTCAAGGCGGTCGGCCCATGTTCACCCGCCAAATCAAGGAACGAATACAGCTCGTCACAAGCTCATACATCTCTAAGTACTACTCAATCACGGCCATCTCTTGGTGTGCTTCGGCCTTGTCGCTTCTGATGACGATGCCCTCACCAGCACGAAAGACACATTTCGACGGCGGCGGGGTCGTTTGGCGGTGCAACTGACAAACTTGTGGCTTTCGCAGCTAGGGTTAGATAGTGGAAGGGCATGCTGAAGTTGGAATGAAGGCCGAGAGGAATGAGACTCGTGGCAGCCACGCCCGCGCCCTTGCAAATCTTCGCTGGAAATAGCAAGCTTCGCTCCATCAACGCTCTCGGGTTGGCTGTCCGGCAACCGCACTGACGGTGCAAAAACAGCAATGTCCACGTCCTGACAGCACCGCCCCTCACTATGTCGGTGGTTCGGGGTACATTGACCTACATAAAGAGTTGGTAGGGCAGGATCTGTTGAGAACGCAAAGCTGTTCGACATATGACAGGCAGAGGTAAGAGGACTTTCGTGGCTTACTTTTGGGACCGAACAGTGATCACCTGGAGCGCGCCTCTATTCTGGAGCATCTCCCTGGCATTCAAGTCGATCTTTACCATAGATTACGACTCTCGAGCGAGGATTGTGGCTTTGTCCGCGAGGCAATGTAGCCTACGCACTGCCAACGCAGAAGGCAGTCTCTCTGTCGGCTCCGTCAAGCCACGAAATTTTGGTCGGGCTGCAAGCGACGGCTGCAGTTCAACAAATGAGTATCGAGAACTCGCGTCTCACGTGCTATCACTGCCCTGTCATGTGAGAGACAGGACCAGAGAATGTATAAAAGGGTCGTGTTTGCCCATCGTCACAGCTCGTTACCCTGTCTCCTTCACCTTCTTTCCACACCCAGCAGACCCTCGACACCGAGCGTGACAATGCCACCAGCCAACACGCGAGACGGAGCTTCCGCCTCCCAAAGACTGACTCGCAAAAAAACTGCAAACTCTGGACCCGCGGGCCCTCAGAATGATGAGCCTGCAAGTTCCAAGGTCGAGCAGCACCAGAAGACCTTTATAATCAATCTCTCCGATGATTCATCCGATGACGATGACTCGGATACTTCTTCGCAGGCAGAAGTACCGAGAGGAGTTCGATTTCAGCTGGGGGGAAATGACTCTCAAGATGACACGGGCGAAGCTGCGTTCCGGGCGCAACCTGCTGGCGACATGAATGGTGAACTTGATCTCGTTGACGACAAGCAGCCACAGGAGCACAATGCTGGGCAGCCGGCCATAGCGCCGGTTGGAACAAGGCAAAAGGAGATTCCTGACTCAGAGAGCTCCGACGACGAGGTCCCAGCAGGCACGCAGACCACCAATGCACACACCAATGCGCACACCGCAAGCAATATAGATGTCGAAGCAGACGTCAACCCAGCAAATACCGGCCCTGCTCCGCACGATAAAGCCAAAAATTCGGCGCGCAAAGGGCCCAGGATGGTTGCATCGGCAGGCAAGACCAAGAAGCGCAAGGCTTCCGACCAAGAAGCCAGTACTGCGGCGCGCACGGGGGGAAGAGAGGGTGCATCAGCACCGAAGAATCCTAAAAAGCGCAAGTCTTCCGACGGTGTGAGCCTAGAGAATCATGGCTGCGCACACGACAATCAAGCAGAACGCGAAGAGCTGCCAGGAAACCAGATGTACGAGGTCCATTCGGCTTTCCGTCATTGCCCGCCTCTGGCCGATCCATTACCTCAGGGCGCCGATGCTCGGGAAACTGCCACATCAGACAATTTTCAAGGTGAGGCGGCCATCAATTCGCCTCTGCGCGCCTCCCGGGAGTGTGGTATGAGCGGAGTCGATGAGACCTCCATGGCTAGAGGGAATGTAGCCGAAGGTAGGTTTCCAATCGGTACTGACGAAAGATCCGACGCAACCCAAGAAGTGCATACGCCAGCACCAACGGACGCAGAATGCACCAGGTCGTCTCAGTTTTTGTTATACGGCGCTGAACTTTTGTTCATATTCCCAGGACAGGGGTGCGTCGAAATTTATTGATGGCTGCTGGTGGATGCAATTCGTGGACGAGCCATTGTCTTCCCCAATAAATCGTAGGCCATCCACAATCCGCGTGTCTTCATTCGAGCGGCTTGCAGGACCTGCTGACAGAGGCGATATTTGGCTGTGTAAGGGTCTCCAGGGTGTGACACCTCGGGCCACGAACGAGAGTTTTCTTTGATTACAACTTGTTTCGCACAGTATCCAATGTTCAAATAGTATCTCGTGTGTTCTCAGATATATTTTATCTCAATGGGAAATGCCTACGTACACAACTATGTCTCCATCCAGGTCCAACTTCACATGGACACTGCCCGGATTTCAAGCGTCTCGCAAATCCGCCCAAGGAAGAGCTCAATTCAGGGGCTGCGTCACCTCAGGGACACTCGTGACAACATCTCAACCTTTGCGGTCACCAGAAAATGAATTCGGTGCTAAGGCGCACAGAATTTTCGTCTAGCAATCGCAGCGAAGAGAACTCACTGCGATTCGGTTGTTTTCCAGTAGACGCCTCGACCATGGAATGTATCTTGAGCCACGTCTGATTCACTAATTCCATGTCTTTGACTCGGCAAAGCTGTAGCTCTTGCCTCTGATTCTAGTTGGCCATCATTTGGGTGATGCTTGTCAACCTAGTGAGTTCTTCGGATGGATTTCGCATTGCCAGCTCCTGCCAATTTGCGCGGCAATCATGCGCGAGCAAATCATCCAATGCTCGACAGTTTTGCAAACACTCGAGTTTGTTTCGTCTTTTGCTGACACATTCATTTTTTTGAGCTTCAAATCGGGCTGCCAACCGGCAGCCTCAAGCGAAATCTCAGACGTAGCAGTTGAAAGTGACGCTTTGCGCTTTAGAACATGTCGTATCTTTGAATTGTCGTTTGTCTGGCTAAGAGGCCGACCAATACTTTTGAATCCGGATTTGCTTCGTAGTATAGCGAGCTCAGGATCGTGATAAAAGTCTTCAATAATCCTGGAAAGATTAAATTTTGGAACCTGCTCTTCTCTGAGCGCGTGGAGGCGCTGTCGCAACCAATCGATGGGCTCGACGTCGAGCTTGAACTTGGCCAACTCCTCAATGGTATGACAAAGCTAATAAAGAGTGTTATATGAACTGATGCTCCCTTTTCCCACAATGGTCATACATCGCTTGCTTAATAGCTGAAAAGGACTGATTTTGCCATCCGCAAGAAATGCCAAAATCGTGGTTCCGCGATTGACCTGGCGATTATAGTAATACCTCTTGCTCTTGTCATCCACTTCGCGGTCAGCGTTATATCTATCCATCCAGAATTGTTGGCTTTGCTTCACCAAAGCTTGGAGATCCGGCCAAAACTTCTCCCAGTAAGGGTGGTAACGGTCAATCTTTTCCAGCGGTACGTCTCTCATACATTCTGGGTGCGTGTAGACAATACCATTGTGACGTAATAGAGGGGTGTCTGTCGTTGTCTCGGTCCTCAACTTGGTGCAGCCGCTCCGGTCTATATCTGGGTTCATTTTTTGTGATAAGCTTGGCCAGTGCCACCTCAGTATGTGTGTCGGTCTTGGGAATATCGAATGCAGCTGCCGGCGCCCAGCGAAACGCTCGCGACAAATGTCGTTCGAATATCACCCTTTGTGAGTCTGAAATCCGGTCTCGTCTATTGCGTTGCCTTGTGCGGCAACGACCCTATGTTCGCTGCTCTGACCGTTGATTTCTACTTACGGCGATCTTTTCGTTTTCCTGGTTGCCAACGTTTTAGCGCACGACGCCGCCAGAGCAGGAACCAGCTCTCATGCACGACTGATCCTTCATAAAAAACAAGTAAGACTTATTTATTGTTGGAGAGTCACTATCTACTGCTCATAACTTTTCTTGTTTGAATAGATAGCGGTCTTCGGTGGAGCCTCATTTACTTTGGCGGAATCGATGGCGAGAATATGCGCGCCATTGGCCGCGTGTCAGTTACTGTGCATACAGCATCCCAACAGGGTGATGAGAGGAGCAGAAAGCGGGCCCGTAGTCTATGCAGTAGGAAAACGCTGCTTATGGGCAAAATCTGAGCGGCGAAGTTTTATGGGGTACGCCGGGACTAGAGCCGGAAGAGGCTGCACCGTAGCGCTCCGCCATTCGCTGATCTCTTATCAGCTTTGAGCGTAGGTGAGTAGTGTACCTGCCACACGCACGGCGAGATAGACCTAGAAGTAGAGGGACGCTGTGAAGACGAGACTAATCGCTAGAAGCCTGCCGTGGTTGGTGAAGTGCCGCCACGTGACGTAACTTTAGCAAAAAGTCTCCGGTTTACAAAGTGAATGCGGTGGGATGGAGATGGGAAGACGAAGAAAGGTGACTAAGAAGTCGATAAGGATGAAAGCAAACATGTTCCTAAGCTAGTGAGTCCTATTGGCCGGAGACCTCCAGACGTAATAAGCTATAAATAAATGAATATATACTTTCTGCTTCCTTTTACTGTACTACCGATTCTTCTACGCTCCAGATTTTCCTGCACTCTACATTCCTCTGCACGTATCGTGTAATTCCGATGTCGACAGACTTCCTGAAGTTGAAGGACATCATTCACGGAGAGCGTAATCTGAGGTTGCGAATCAAATTGCTCAATTTCGCCGGCCGATTTAGGTCCCTCTGAGTTCGCGACGACGACGACAGTCAAATTAAACGGCGGCGCAGCGTCTAAGATCTATAAATATACCTACCATAAAAACCGAAATGGGTGTCGCGGGGCTTGGGTATAGCATAAATTTAGTGGAGTGATGGCCACGAAGTCAGTAGCTTGTAGCTGTGAGGTTCCCTTTTTGCCTGTTCTTAACAAGCCCAACAGCTGGTTACTGCTTCAGTAAAACCCGAACTGAGTGACATAGGTGCTTCTACACGAGAAGGCGAAATAAATGTCCCTTTCAGTTAGTTACCTTATTAAAAAAGTGGATAGGTCTCCTTTTGGCCGATATAGTCATCAGGTCCATGTATTAATACTAGCGTAATAATTCAGAGCAAAACTAAAACATGAAGGCAGGATCGGAGCAAATGGCTGATTTCGGAAAATGATTTTCCATCATGGAAGCCTCTTTCTCCTGCATCGCCAGAAGCAGATTTGTTCACAGGGGAGTAATAATTGGTGTAGATGTGTTAAAAATAACAGATAAAATCAACTGCCTATTTCCACTTGAAGTCTCAGATACCAAGTGGGTACTGGAGCGCTTCGCGGCAGCCTAAAATGGCTGTCAACTATTATTCTTAGTTAACCAAAAAAAGGGACATTCGTTTCGCCTTCCTCTGTAGTTCATTTTACTTGTAAGGTGTGTGTGAAACCGCTACTTTTCGCTACTATAACTGCTAAGTGCCCGGCTGGAACGGAGCACAGTACCGTACCTCCCATTACCATACTCTTATATTTAGTTAACGATGCCGCTGGAAGCCGCAACTAAGTCTTTCCAGTTACGCCCACTTTCTGCCGTTTCATCAATTACGCCTTCTTTACAGAGCCGGCCATGGCGGCACCATAGTCATTTTGCAGCTATGCTACATGTGGTCGACTACATTTGGTGTCCATTGCGATCCTCTCACTGTACAGCGCGGGGCACGTGAGATGTTGCACCACAGCGTCGGTGCCACGCGCCGACGCCAGCAAGCGTCCTGCAGCCTGACCAGTCAACCCCTCATTTGTCTTCTCTACGTTGTGTGACGGACAACGCACGCGAGTTCAACACTTTGACCGCATCTTCATAACCCTGCCTTAACCACCTTTGACTATTCTTGGCCGACGTTGACCATGATTGCCATGGGAAGCTCAGAATCATATACCATAGGGTGGATTGCCGCACTTCGTTTCGAGCGGGCTGCTGCCACGGCCCAACTCGATGACCGCCACCAACCGCCGGCAGACTTTCAACAGCATCCCTCCGATAATAATTCTTACACCTGGGGCCGTATGGGTAAGCACAATATCGTCATAGCCTCACTCCCCGCCGGCGTGTATGGCACGACGGCTGCGACGACGACGGCCCTTAACCTGCTCATGTCCCTACCCGCGATCAAAATTGGGCTTCTCGTTGGAATTGGGGGCGGAATCGCTCGACACGATGACCAAGATGTTCGGCTAGGTGATGTAGTTGTGAGCCAACCCGAGGGAACCAGCGGTGGTGTTGTTCAGTATGATCTTGGCAAGGCCAGGCCGAATGGGAAGTTCGAGTTGAAAGGTGTGCTGAATAAACCCCCCCAGGTCCTACTCAACGCACTGGCCGCTCTACAGTCAGAACATGAGATGACCACACCAAAAGTTCCTGACCTTCTCGAGGCGATGTGGGTTAGAATGCCGCAGATGAAGAAACCAAGGGGGAAAGAACCTAGCTACGTTCATCAAGGGGTTGAGAACGATCGGCTATTTTCGCCTGCATACGATCATAGAGGTGGGCATAACTGCGATAACTGTGATTCATCTGAGCAAATTCAGCGTGATACACGAATCACGACTGACCCCAAAATTCACTACGGCATCATCGCCTCGGGAAACACACTTACAAAGGATACTAGCACTCGCGATAAGATCGCAGAGTCCGCTGGGAGAGACTGTATCTGTGTTGAAATGGAGGCTGCCGGCCTGATGGACCCTTTTCCTTGCTTGGTCATTCGGGGAATCTGTGACTACGCCGATTCACACAAGAATGATCGGTGGCAACGACACGCGTCCGCTACTGCGGCGGCTTATGCGAAAGAGCTTCTAGAATACGTGCCCATTAAATTGCTTGAAAACACTACGCGAGCTGTGGACACACTGAGTTCAAGTTAGTATCTTTCCTGAGAAATAAATTTGTTTTATTATTGATGCTTGCATTCAAGTCAATCTTGGTGTAGAAAAAATTCTATCTGCAGCAGACGAGTTGCAACTATCGATGCAAGGTCTCCAGTGAGTCAATGCGCGCAACTCTCGCAATCTTACTCCCTTGATTAAAAACTTTACGAAAGCGAGGCAGTACACAGCACCCGGCGTACGATAATGCTCGAGCGAATCCCCACTGGCCGGCAGCGCTTTCTCGGCTCCCGCTGCTACCGCTGCGACCATCGTAGCCATTGGCTGGTCGACTGTCATGCACTGGAAGACACTGTTCTAAGAGGTCGCAAAAAAAGGGACGATGACGACCGATGCATCAACTGTGGGGAAGACGACCACTGGTGGGAAGACTGCCGCTTCGAGGATTTACTAGAGAGATCCGATGAATATTATTACCGCTGATAATATATACGCTGATGACTACGACTGTATTGCCGGAAATTAGCATGTATTAACGTAGGGACTTCCAAAGGTCATTCTTAGTGCCTGTTACTGGTTGGGGTACAAGCACGGTACTTGTTGGTGTCAATGACCAAACAGAGCAGGCTACGTCCCCCAAACTAACTAACGGCACCCGCGACACCCATTTCGGGTTTTACAATATCTGGAATGGAATACCATCATGTCCTTGGTGAGCGGCCCGCTAGCGACTCTACTTCAGCTGCCCCCATGACCTTTGCGGTTTGCCACCGGACCAGCCAGTCGAGATAAACCGGATCAAGGCTCCTGAGCTGGGAGAAATAGATGTATCGTAGCCACCGCCACGCTCGTAAAGGCAAGGTTAAATACCAGGCCCCTCTTCAAGCTGCCGCCGCTCACCTGTCGATTTCTTTGGCTGTCCAGTGGACAACAATTACGAAGAATGCAGATACTAGCGAACTGACCTAAGCCAGTATGCCGAAACCTAACGCGGCGAAATGCAAACTCAACCGTCGACGCCGACCCGCCAAGGTGACGAGTGCGTAGGCGAGCACAAAAAAAGCTGAAGCAGAGCCAGAGCAAGGGCTGCATAAAATGGAACCCGTAACATTTCTCATGACCGAAGTCGAAACATGCCTTGTTCGTACCCACCGTCACCGCGCGTGGTAGTAGCTGATCGACGAGATGATCCACGGCCGCCGTTGCACTGCTCATGAGGCTGCTGGCCTGATCCGTCGCACGTGTGGCCTCCGTAGCCAAGTCATTACCTACTTTTGTCGCCTGCGACACAACTGTCTGAAGCGGATCAGGCACAAACAGAAACCCGTGGTGAATGATATGGTTGTTAAACTGCGCGTTACTGTCAGCTATAGAAGCACGAAGCGATAGGGGCACCGAGAACTCACCGAAAGGGTAAGTATGCCTTTCGCTGCACTGCTAGAAGTCATGCCGATGGACGCAACCAGTAAAGAAAAGATTGTTGGTAGGACATACTGAAATTCTGTCTGTGCTCCATTTTCTTAAGAACACCATGTTGGCCTTCCTCATGAGGCCGTACACGTCTGGGCAAAGAGGCTCTTATACGCCTGCTTGTAAAAGTCGAAAATGGACGAATTGGACATTATATGTTCGCTTGAAGCGACCCTGCCTAGTTTCGATTTGACTTTCTTATTACGGCACGATTCGGACCATGTGGCCATTACCAGCGCCTGTATCTAAGCACAAGCCATCTACGTTCCTTGGACTCCTAAACCGGCGCCACTAATCACGATGGCACCTAAGATCGATATTCTGCTTTTTTTTTAGCCTGCATAGTGGCTTAGCATCTTTAATACGTGGGAGTCTTTGGCCCTGTATGTGTTTAATATCCTTTTAAACAGCTGAATCCGTATACCGT